GATACTAACATGCCGAAGCAAAAAGTCAAACATGGTTATAAGAAAACGCCCAAACTCCCTTGGATTTCTAAGTCTATATTGCGATCAATAAATCGGAAGAATAACCTTTATTATAAATATAAAATAAAAGGCACTGAGCAATCAAGGAGAAAATATACATCATATAAAAACATTCTGACTCGGATTATTCGATTAGAAAAGAGAAATTACTTTGTAAATCGTTTGAAACTTTTTAAAAATGATATGCAAAACACTTGGAAGGTAATCAAACAAGCAATCAACCAAGTTAATAATAAATCCGAGGTAAATAAGATCAAATTTGATAATGAGATTGTTGAAGACCCAAAAGACATAGTTAATATTTTTAATACTTATTTTTCTTTAATAGGTGATAATCTCGCTAAAAACATTCCGCCTTCAAACACAAATTTTGTGGAGTTTTTAGGCCCCCACAATCCAAATTCTATTTTCTTCGTTCCAACTAATAGGCAAGAAATTATGAAAATTGTTTCTAGTCTGAAAGATAAGAAAAGTTCAGGATATGATGGAATCAATAATGTCATACTAAAATCCATTATTCCCTTTATTGCAGATCCATTGGTTCACATCTTTAATATATCACTTTTACATGGTAAATTTCCTAATTCTATGAAAATAGCCAAAATTATTCCGTTATTTAAAAAGGGTGATAAATTGGATGTGGGTAACTACCGCCCGATTTCTTTATTATCTTCATTTTCTAAAGTTTTGGAAAGAATAATCTATATCCGGATGATGTCCTTTTTGAAAAAATATGATGTATTTTCAAACTTCCAATTTGGTTTCAGAGAAAAGCACAGCACCGTTCATGCTTTAATGTCTTTTGTTGAGAAGGTTGCCCACGCAATTGATACATTGTCACACACTGTAGGTATATTCCTGGACTTCTCCAAGGCCTTCGACACGATTAATCACGAAATTTTACTTTACAAACTATCTCATTATGGTGTACGTGGAAAGGCCTTGGAGTGGTTCAGGAGTTACCTCTCTAACAGAAAGCAATATGTACACTTAAACGATCATGCATCTGAATTATGCAATATTAGTTGTGGTGTCCCACAAGGTAGTCTGCTAGGCCCGCTTCTCTTTATTCTTTATATAAATGACTTTTGTAAATCGTCTAACTCCCTGTCGTTTATTTTATTTGCAGATGATACTAATTTATTTTTTTCACACAAAAATCCAAACGTCCTCGTTGATAAAATCAATGCCGAGTTATTAAATATATTGCAATGGATACAAGCAAATAAATTGTCACTTAATCTCCAGAAAACAAACTACCTGCTATTTAGTAACTCTTTGGATTCATTACCCTCTGACATTATTTTTGACAATACCCCTTTGAAACATGTCCCTCTTACCAAATTCTTGGGTATAACAGTCGATGACAAACTTTCTTGGAAACCACACATTGATAATATTTGTAAAACCATTTCGCGCAATATTGGTGTTATTAATAGACTAAAATTGTACTTACCGCAATCATCATTATTTATGCTGTATTCTTCATTGATCTTGCCATATTTGAATTACGGTCTTCTAGTTTGGGGCAATACACATCATACATTGTTGGAAAGAGTTCTATTGTTGCAAAAGAGAGTTATTCGTATTATTTGTAATGCCCCCATACGCTCCCATACGGATCCTCTGTTTTTTGGAAATAACATCTTAAAAATTAAGGATTTGTACTTATTTCAGCTCGGTCAATTTATGTTTAATTACAATAAAGGTATACTGCCCTCTGTGTTCAATGATATGTTTCTTATAAACCATGCTGTTCATAGATATCCCACTCGACAATCCGATGAGTTTCACTTACCTCTTTTGAGAACATGTTCTGCACAGAACACGTTCATTTTTGAAGGCCCTAAATTTTGGAATACTTTGCATAACGATTTGAAAACTACCCCTTCACTAATTGCTTTTAAAAAAAAGTTAAAATTTTCCTTATTACAATCTTATATTTAGAAAATTATTTTGATAGAACATCTCCTTCCCAATTTTGTTTTCTTTCCCTCTTTTCGTCAGCCCATCTCAAATCAAAAAACTACTTACCATCATGTTCTTGCTCTTTTTGTTTCAGCTATCTCAAGGATTTTGTGCGCTCCCTATTTCGTGCTCGATCTCTACAACTTTCCTTTTCTCTCACTCTCCTTCCCTCCAAACGCAGCCCGCATTTTTGTTCCTTTTTTCCCCCCTTTTGTTTTTCTTCTTTTTTTTCTGTTCTTTCTTCGTCATGTAATTTGTTACGTCTTCTTGTTTACAGTCATTACGTGTTTTAATAAATGTTCTCTGTTGGCCACTATTCTTCTTTAATTGATTATGTATTCAATATTTTGTTCACACTCATTATTATCTGAGGGGTCCACAATTTACAAGCTTTGCTTTTCAGTGGACCTCTCCATTTTCTCAAAGTATAAATGCAATTAAGTTTTAAAATTCATTTTTTGGTCTTCCTAAAATGTATAAATTATTATTAAGATTTGTTTATTACCAATGTAACTATGTTTTGTATACATTTTACATTGTATTCGTCATGTATTGTATTTTGTTGGAAATGAAAAAATAAAAATGAAATGAAAATGAAATAGTAATGAAAGCACATGAAACGTCTTGCTCTATTTTTCAGGATTCTACTAAAGTGGATCTCCAACAGAATGTATCCATCACTTAAGGCCTAAATAAGTCGCCCTCTATATATTAAAAAAGAAATGAATACCACCAATAAGTTCAAAGGTGCATGCTTATAAATACGCTCTGAGGGAAAACCCACTTCTATTCTTAGGATGCACAAACTGCATGATAATAGGGACTTTTAGATTCTGTACGACGAGAACGTGGACTGCCCTTTTAAGGCAATGTGACGTCCTTTTAAGGCACTGGCAGTGACGTCACATTGCCTTAAAAGGGCAGTCCGCGTTCTAGTCGTGCATAATCTAAAAGCCCCTATTGACAGTCAATCTACTCAAATGTGATTTTACCATTGTAACCACATTGATATTCAAGTACACACTTGGGAAGAGAATGCTAGTGTGTGTGCCTCAGTTGAGATGTCTTATTTCAATTCAGGTATCAAAATGAAGTTATGAGAACAAATATAACTGAAGTACCATATGTTATCAATACAAGACACATCTTTTCTCGCCTGTACAATATTTCACTACTTACCATTTAAGGTGTTTTTAACCATTTCTATGGGAACCTCTTGTCAGGATTTTTAGCTCCTGATGTGCGAGTAGTCTGTGTATTTTTTTCTCTTTCAAATACGTACCTTACTTTGAAACGCTTATCATTAAAATAATACATGTACTTATTCCAGGAGACTAATATTTTGTACATACACCGGAATGCGATAGTTTTTACAACGTCTACCTCTCTGTCATTGGTAATCATAGGCAAACAAAGATATCTATGCAAATATCAATATTAAAAACAAACATCACAACCTGTTTGACATAATCAAGGAAAGTTTGTTCAGTTCACATTCAATAAACACATGGACAAGGTCCTCTATAACGTGGTACTTGGGGCGGTATCTGTCGTCTGCTATTCCCAATTTTTAAGTATTGTTTCAAACAGATAATATATTGTATAGCAATTTGAAATTGAACTCTCTTAAACGATATTCCCTTGTATAAATCAAATGCTTTTTGAACACGGAAGACTTATTAATGTGTTTTTTTCTTCAATATACCCACCCCCAGACAGCACTTGTTGGTGGAGAGTCTGTTTAAAAGATATCAGATTGTAGAAACGTTCGCTGCTTACGTCACTAACACTAAATATATATTTTTCTCTGAATAATAATCTGTTGTAAGAGTTGCGTTAAAATAATAGTATAATATTCGTAGAACATTTTCGAGCTAAAGGCAACTCCTAATATTTATTATCTCATGGTATTTTAAAAATATTTTCCTGCACCTTTCCCCTCGCTCCTACCTTTTTTCATGCCATTCGATTAGAGGGCATGTACGTGCACACCCCATGTGTCACACAAATTCATAAGACATACTGCTCTACTGACTGTCACTAGTCTACAGAAATTACAGAAGATTATATTAATCTTGTTGTATACCTGATATAATCTAAGCAGAGCGATTGAACGTTTGATATTACTACATATACAGATGAGTGCTGGTCACTGTCCAGAAACGATTGAAAACTGACTATATAGTTATTGGTAAATGCTAATTGTGCAGTTTATAGAAGTAATTGTTGAGGCTAAATTGTGTAGGCTCATTGTGAGATTTCGGAATCATTAAAATGATAACACACTGATGCAAATCGCAAACAGTGAAAACCACTGCACACAGATATACGATTCCATCAATGTTTCAGACTTACTTTGGCTACTTTGCTGGTCCAAAACAACCCATTCACTTTACAATGAAAATAAATATTTTCCAACAGTTTTTCCCGAAATGCAGTATCACAAACAAAACTACTGTGATTTACTTAATATATTATAATTTTAAATGAATCATATTTCCGTGCAGTATGGCCTCCATATTCTATTTGATATCACTTTTCTTGATATCAGCTCTTTGAGACGGCCATGATTCACATTATCATTGTTAGAAGCCTAATCTATGCGATTTTGTATACATTGCCTACGAGAGGAAGAGGAGAAATATTTTTTTCAAGCGAATTTCGCATTGTAATACGTGTCGCCAAGTAGGTTTTCATACGTTAAGAGAATTTCTGACAGTGAAAGAGAAGAATGAGAGATCGATGGAAGAAGATAAAGGAAAAATAGTTGATACAGAAGGGGTGAAATGTAAGTGTGGCTATCGTCCTTTACCCTTCCAAACAAAGTGAAAACAGCAAATAAAACCTAGGATTCTAATAAAGTGGATCTCCAACACAATGTATCCACTACTAAAAACTAACGAGTCGCCCTCTGTAGATCAAAATGATGAATACCGCCATTAAAGTTCAAAGGTGCATTCGATGGGCGCGCTCTCTGTGGGAAAACCCACTTCTAATCAAAAGGATGCACAAACTGCATTTTTTTTCACAGACAATCTACTTACAGTGTGAGCGTATAGCATTGCAATCACATTTGTATTGATGTATACACTTGAATCGAGACTCAGTACTTTTGATCAACGTTACTCCGCACCTCTTTTGACACATATTTGTAATCAACGTGAACTTGGTATAGAACTGCATGCAGTTAGGACGCACTGTCTTGTTACGTAGACTCGGGGTATTGGTACAATCTACTACATCACTGCATATAGTTTGTGCTTGCATGAACGACTGTTGGCTTTAAGTACACATTAGCTGATCACACTTTTAAGTTATATTGGACATCAATTGGATATAGGCGTAGAATGCACTTGCGTTTGTAATTAGCCAGAAATCCGATATTTGTACAAATGGCTGAGAAGACTGAGAAAGAAAAAGTTCCAAGCTTTTCACAGGACCTGACGTGTCCACTGTGTCTTGGTATCTTCGACGAGGCAACCATCCTGACTTCATGTGGACACACCTTCTGTCGGAAATGTCTCAGGAACTATGACCTGTCCCATCAGAATCTTAATCACATGATCTGTCCTCTCTGCAGGGAGACCACCAAGTTATCTGCGAACCGTGTTGATGATTTCCTTACCAATGTGACGGTCAACGGACTTGTAGACAATTACCACGTCATGTTTGGAGGGGTTAACGCTGTCCTTGAGATGCGTTCAAAATGCACTGCTTGCAAGCTTCAGAAAGATGCCGTCTCATTCTGCTGTACATGTAATAACTACATTTGTGATAAGTGTCTAGAGTGTCATCAAAATATTAAAGTCTTTGAAGGACACGAGATTGTATCCAAAGAGGACATCATCAACGGGAAGGTCAGCATTGGCCATCTATCGGAAAAGTGCTGCATCCACAAACAAGAGAACAAAGAGATGTTTTGTGAGGATTGTAAGGTCCATGTCTGTTTCAAGTGCGTGATCGTCGGTCATCAAAATCACCACATCGAGAATCAGGCTGACTTCGAGCAGAAGTTACGTCTTAAAGTAAGTGGGGTCATTTAAAATATAATTGCGTTTGGCTAAGGCCTGTCAAGTTTATAGACTCATATAATTCTGATAGGAGAAGGTACCATATAGGCGCCGGAAAGGAGGGGGAGGGGGGTTGATGTCCCCGCATTATTCTTGTCAGGGACAAAATTGATTTCAGCTAGTCCTCTGCCCCCCCCCCCTTCCACTCGCAAGGAAAAATAAAAAAATAAAAATAACATTAAATTCCTTTGCATCAAAATGAGCTTTCAAGTGCACCGAAAAGTAATTTTCAGGATCCTAAAACCAACACTTTCTCAAGGCGGACGCTACATAAACTCCCTCGAATAATAAGAGACCCGGTGTTTACTGTATAAATGTAAACCCTGTCTACAATATTATAGGCACTGCAACCCAGGGAGCACATTTTCCCATCTATCAACGGGTGTGGTTAAAATAAAATCCCCCCGACAAGGATTGTAAAGTCCATGTATGTCTCAGTTGGTCATCGAAATCAAGAACCAGGCCTAGGCTGACTTCGAGTAGGTATAGTTGAGTAAAGGTGACGGAAGTGACTACCCCCTCACAGGTTTTGAAGTTTTGTTGTATTAAACAATTACAGTCCTTAGCAAAACTATAAATCAAGCAATATACTTTTTCACTGACACTCAATTTTTCTAAAATATTTACATGTATAGCTATCGAGCGAGAGGATTTTTGCATTTTTATTTGTCTAAACGCTGCATTCTTGTGCCCTCCAGAGCCCAAAAGTCTTTAGTCAGTATTTGCTATACATTTTTTGGGGGTACTTTTTCAAATTTTTACGGGAACGACCCCCCCCTACACAAATTAAAGGGGGACGTGTCCCCCGTCTCCCCGGGATCGCCGCCCCTGATACTGTTATTATTTTATTTTATTATATCTACATTCTGTTTATCTGATAATACTACTTTCATACAAATGGACTTTTTATTACAAGGGCTGGATTCCCTTTTAAAGGCCCACTGTACTACTTGTAGCTACTTGCTCTCTCTATATAGAAAACAATGCCTAAGCAGGAACTGTTGGTCCTCCATGACCCTCTTTTTCTCATGTTAATTGAGAGCTGAGTTGATGAGATAGCTACATGTCAGTACCCTCGCTGGGTGGTCTAATCCCTCCTGTCCACACTAATACATACGCGCTTTAAGAAAGGCCTTTTAAAGCAAAAGCAAATGCAAAACAAAAATATTCAATTCTTCTGTTCTCGTATGATATAATGATGGGGGGGGGGGGTGTTCTTACTTTTGTGAAACCTTGCAAAAGGTTTTTGTAATTATAGCATACATCTCACGCTAGAAAATGTTCTTTTCACTTCCTATTATCTGTCATGTTTAGGTGAATGACCTTGTCCGACGATGTGCCGCTAAGAAGTCAGAACTGGAGAAGAACATTCAGAATGTCGAAGTACAACGCCATGAAGTATACACTGCCGTGCAGAAACTACTGGACGATGTCAGTCAAGCCTACAGCATCAAGGCCAAAGAGCTTGAAGAAAATCATCAAAGTCTAATCGAGCAAATCAATGCAGTAAAGCGGAGTTTCGAGGACGACCTCAACGTCTTGAAATCTAAGGATCGACAGAAAATCAAGAGTATTTGTAGTTCAATAACACTGGTAGCTAATGACAGACTGGGTCGTCTTGAGACAGACAGTTTGTCTGCTCATACCTTGCTCTGTGAGGAGCTGGATGCCATGCTGAAGGAGGCAACTGATCACACTTCTGCGGCAGCCATTTCGAAGAAAGCACAGGAGAAGAGGTTTAAGCCTGCAGATGATACTCGTCTCGACCTCGGGAGCATCTCAGAATCAGCTACTGATTATACTTCTTCGGCAGCCATTACGAAGAAAGCACATGAAAAGAGGTTCAAGGGTGCAGATGATACTCGTCTTGACCTCGGGAGTATCTCAGGATCAGATCCCAAGTTGCAAGTTATTCAGTGTGTAGACCTACAGGGTTGGATGTGTGGAATGACCCAGTACTCTGATGTTAGTGTGGCTATCGGATATTATGCTACACATGGTATAGATATCATTGATTCAGCTGGCAAAAAGCACCAGTATTCAAACATACCAAGTAACATGCAATGTTATGATCTTGTGTTTCAACAAGACAGGTCGTTATGCGTATCGACGGGTTACACAGAAGCACACTTATATTCGCCCAATGGATCCCGGAAATCAACCATCCACGTGAAAAGCAATTCCTATTATCTCAGACTAAACAAAAGTCCATCAGATGACATCCTCATTGCTCGCAATGAGCAGAAAGTCTACATCTATGACCCGACTGGATCCACTCTCAAACACACTATTCCAACAAAACACAACAAGACGAGCCAGGTATCTGCTACCAGGTCTGGTTTGATCGTCACGAGTTCATGTTTTTACACCAATCCAAACGTGGTGACGGTCTATGACAGGGATGGGAATGCTGGTAAGTCTCTACAAGCTCCATACGATGTCTACCTGTATGCTGCCCTGGATGAGCAGGACAGGGTGTATGTAGCGAGTGTTGATCAAGAGAATGGTAACGTGGGGATCAGGCTCTATGACCTTGATGGTTTGAACCTGAAGGAGAGAGTTGAGTTCAATGTACTTAATCTGACGCTTGGTTGGGACTGGTGTTACTTGGTTTCACTCTCACCAGACATGCTCGCCTTTGCTTGTCACAAGAAGCTGCATTTTATCAAAGTATCACTGTAAACCAACCTCACACTCTATATTACCATTATGTGTAGTGTGTATACCTTTCTGCTCCAGATCTATAACAGATGCCTATGTTTCATTTTCTAACCGAATGGGAAGATAATTATTACGTGATTACTAATTGAATGGGAAGATGTTCATTCTCTCCATAGACTTTAATTACCTGTATACAGTTGTCATTATCCAATAACATGAACATTCCCTCTTTCGAAATAGTATGTAACAAATAGGTAAATTATGCATATATTTTTTTAACAAAAGATCGGTACTGCAAAATCAAAGAATAACAACAAATGCAGGCATTCTAATAAATTTGAATTTAAGAGGTTCCTACCTCTTGAGACGCAATAAATAGATGCAAGTGATATGGTAATAAACATGTGTATGTTTAACTTGACAATTGATAAAAATATTGATAACTTCTTTTGAGTATTATTTTTCTTATGTCGTTATTCTCATGTATTTTAACGTTTATTTTGTTTGCACTTATATTTTGTGATTGTTACTGTGATTATTTGGTATCTTTGAAAGAAGAAGATATGAAGAAATAATTAATACTGACTTTGTAAAATGACCCTTTGTAAATAAGCTTTTCAGTTTTCATGGCCATCTTTTCAAGTTATTATTATCATTTTGTTTTTATTTTGTGATATCATTTTACTCTACGTATGTATGTTACATTGAACTTGTCTAACACATCATATCAAATTCTAATAAGAAGCTTCATAGGACCATGGTGAAAATATTGCTACATTCCATTAAAAATTCCTTCGTATTCACTTTGCACCCTGTCTGAAAATTCAGTAAATTGAATGCTCTGGGAACTGATGATATGAAAAAATTAGTTTACTATATTGCTGAGAAGAACAATGTTTTTTAACAAAAATTTGGCTTCGCTTAACAGTCGGAAGTTGTGATGCTTGATTAAGCATTTTAAGTAAATGAAGAATATTATGATATCTTTGTGAAAGTTAATTAGTAATTTTACTTTGCATATTTTATCTGTATTTGGTAGTTGTATTTTCCATTTTAATTACCGCTTCAATTGATTTGGATTCAGTTTATTAACTAAATTCGATTTAATTCAATTAAATCTATACAGACTATCGATTTGTGACATGTAATTTGAAATATCTCAATCTAAATTTAATAACGGTAGAAAGAGAATGGGGTATTTAAAAAATATAGGATTATGTTTATCATATGATAAGTTGGAAAGAAACCCACCCTCTTCTAAGATAATTTTTTTTCCAGTGTTTGTGTCATGGTAATGTACCTTCAACTGGCTCCTGACAAAGTTTGGTGCATGGGTTTTCAATGCGGTGACCCAATGTGATCGACTTGGATGCCCTTCTCGAGGGCTCTCGGGAACAAACTCCAAGGGCATTCTCGACACTGACATTTTTTTCGTGAATTGCATGGATGGTCTAAGTATTCCATTGTTTGGTCAATTCGTATGACTATTTTGGGACAGACATCTGGTGTCTTTACTGTTTTGTTCAAAGTTTTGTAAATATATTATTAACACAAGTCTAAAAGTTCACATTTTGTATTTGTATTTTCTAAATGAATTGTTGTCTCTTTGTATTTAGAAATAGATAGTTTGTATTCGCTGTAGAGGGAGCCTATTACATGTATATATATATATATATATATATTAAATAAATACAAGGAATTGTTGATGGACACTGGATATTTCTGTCAGAATACTGTACTAGCTGATATCGCCATCTGTAATATATTCCTTCGTTATTGCTACAAGCATAAGCAAATTAAAATAACAAGAGCAGCATATTTTCAGATTATGAAATGATCGACTGCCTGAGTTGTTCATTGTTATTGAGTTGATAATTGCACATATCATAGACTTTCGTAATATTCAGGGGTTTATAGGAGAGTGAACGAGAGACAAAGATAGAGAGGAAGAGACACAAAGATAGAAAGAGAGAGAGAAAAAGAAAAAGGGGGAGACAGAAAGAAAGAGAGAGAGAGTGAGACAAAGTTAGTGAGATCGCGAGATCAAGTATGTGTGTGTGTGTGTGTGTGTGTGCCAAGAGAGTGTGTGAGAGACCCATGGACCCATTGTTTTTTCTTTGCAATACGGGCTATGATAGTGACACGTTCAATGTTATATGATTGTTCACGTTATCAGCTCTTGAGACGGGCATGATCACATTGTCATGGTTATATAACGATTTTATAAAAAAGGAAACGGTGAAATAATTGTTCAGGTAAATTGTACATTGTAGGAAAGTCAGCCTCGAAGCAACCCATTCACAAGAATATAAATTGTTGACATAGAAAGAGAAAAAGATAAATAGAATGAGATAAAGGACGAATAGTAAAGAAAGAAAGGATGGAAAGCAATTGTAGTTACCGTCCTTTACTCTTCCAATGATAATACTAAAAGCAAATAAAACGTCTTTCTTTATTATCCAGGATTCTTCTAAAGTGGATCTCCAACATAATATATCCACCACTGAAAGCCTAAATTAGTCGCCCTCTATAGACACAAATGATGAATACGTATATACCGGCAGTTCAAAGGTGCTCAAATGCTGCGCGCGCTCTCTGTGGAAAAACCCATTTCCATTTATAGGATGCACAAACTGCATTATACATGAACATACGATCTACTCAAGTGTGATATTACCACTGTAATCTTATTTATACACACAATAGAGAATTATTACTTTTGATAATAATAATAATAATACATTTATATAGCACAGCTTTTATACAAAATATATTCAGCCGCGCCGCTGGTTCAGATCTCCTTTAAAAAAACTAAATTCTACAAACTAGTTCTCTCAATTGAACAAATAATTAGGTGGTCTGTCGATGACAGATCACCTATTGATTTCGTTAGAATTTTCTTTATTCTTTATTCTTTATTCTTTATTATTTATTAGGTGGTCTGTCAACGACAGATCACCTATTGATTTCGCTAGAATTTTATTTCTTTATTTATTAGGTGGTCTGTCAACGACAGATCACCTATTGATTTCGCTAGAATTTTATTTCTTTATTTCTTTATTAGGTGGTCTGTTGAAAACAGATCACCTATTGTTTTCGTCAGAATTTTCTTTATTATCAGGTGGGCTGTATAACGTACAGACCACCTTATAATTTCGTTAGAATTGCCTTTATTAAATATTTTTCTTATTTCTAACCACTTTTTTGTGAACAAGATAACTTGAAAATGGCTCAATCAAATGCCTTCAAATTTGGCACCCATATGTAAAGGCATATGTACAAAGCACAATAACGTTTTCAACATTGACCTTCACTGATGACGTTATCTAAGCGCCATTTTGTAAAATTTTACGAAAATCAACTCATGATCATATCTTCATAACCAAAAGCGATTTCTCATTCATATTTATCATGATCAAGGTCAATATCCGTCCGGTCAATTTTAGGTCAAATAACGCGCGCGTGCGCCTACGTCCGCGCGTCAATGCGCGCGCAAAATTTTCAAATGCTCAAAATCGTATCAAAATCATTTTGCATACGTTTTAGGCCATTCTAAGCATTTTATAAAAAATCGCGCACACGCGCATGAAATCGCGCACACGCCCATGCGCGCGCATTTTCGCGCGTAAAACTATTACACAACATAAAATCGCAATTTTTTTTGTTTTATAATATTTCACATATTTTTACAAACAAATTGATACCATGTTTGTCTCTTTATGACTATTAATAACGGAACGATCGACCGTTTAACATGAATTTCCGTGCGCGCGAGCTCTTGTAAAACAGCATATAAAGGCAAAAACATGCCTATAGAAAATCAATTGTAGCTCTTTAGGATGTAAGGTGACCTCAATTTGTTTTCATATTTTAATAGAGTATGATTCGGAGATATGATTTCATGTCTCATTTGACCCTCGATTAACTCATGACGTCATCATAATGGCCTCCGAACTCAAAATTCCAATTTGCATATTATGACGTCAGCATATTATTGGAAAATTGATTGTATCTCTGTAAATATTGTTTAATCTTCTTCCAAATTTTGATATGTTCTTGCTGAGACAATTTTCAACAAATGATATAGTCACGATTTTTCATTCTGACAAAGGCATCATGGCGTATATTTGCGATTAAAGGAGGCATGTCATTTTTTCACATTTTGCGTGTATTCTCTATGGGACATGATTTTTTCTCAAAAAATGGATTCTACATTCCCGTCTTTCGCGAGCAATATCTTCGTCGTTTTAGCTTCGTTTACGCGGAACTACGAGTATGTTGTAGCTGAGACAATAAGCTATCTCAAATGTACCCTTTATTTTGTCTTAAATTTTAGTTGGACCAGCCCACCTATACTTGTTCCAAACAAGTATTACAAATCTAGTTTATTATTTATTTTTATTTCTCCCCACTTTTTTGTGTACAGGATAACTCAAGATCAGTTCAGTCAATTTTGTTAAATTTTGGCACAGTCATAGGTCATTGCCATAAGACGTGACAGGAACATTTTCAAGGTCATCAAATTTTCATGACGTCATCCAGGCGCCATTTTGTATTTTTTTTGGTACTTTCAATTCATGATCATATCTTCATAACGGAGAGGAATTTCTTATTAATATTTATCATGATTAAGGTCAATATCCGTCCGGTAAATTTCAGGTCAAAGAACGCGCGCGCATGCGTACGTCCGCGCGTCAGCGCGCGCGCAAAAAATAAAAATGCTCCAAATCGTTTCAAATTAATTTTGCATACGTTTTAGGCCATTTTAAGCGTTTCGCAAAAAAAAGCTCGCACACTCGTGCGCGCGCGTTTTTGCGCGTACTGGTATTTGCCATCGTAAAATCGCAAAATTTTCTCTGTCATCATATTTGGCACATTTTTCCAAGCATTTTGATACCTTGTTCACCTTTTTCTGCCCATTAATAACGGAATGAGCGTCTGTTTAAGATAATGTCCGTGCGTGCGAGCTCTTGTAATACATAGCATACATGGGCAAAAACATGCCTATACAAAATCCATTGTAGCGCTTTAGGATGCAAGATGAACCCAATTTTGTTTTCATATTTTGATAGAGTATGAATTGGAGATATGATTTCATGTCTCATTTGACCCTCAATTGACTCATGACGTCATCATAATGGCCTCCGAACTCAAAATTTCAATTTGCATATTATGACGTCAGCAGATTTTTGGAAAATTGATTGTATCTCTGTAAATATTGATCAATTTTCTTTCAAATTTTGATATGTTCTACCTGTGAATATTCTCTACAAATACAGTCTTCACAAAATTTCATTTTGACAAAGATATCATGGCGTTTTTTGCGATTAAAGGAGGCATGTCAATTTTTCACATTTTGCGTGTATTCTCTATGGGACATGACTTTTTCTCAAACTGGATTCTACATTCTCGTCTTTCGCGAGCAATATCTCCGTCGTTCTATCTTTGTTTACGCTGAGCTTTGAGTATGTTGTAGCTGAGACAATAAGCTATCACAAGTGTGCCCTTTATTTTTCGATCAGATGCCAGGATCATGTTCATATTTCACTTACAAAGTGGGATTTGATAATTCCATTTTCCGTTTACGTGTAATCTCTATGGGAAATGTTTTGGTATATCGGTAACGCACTTGACTTCCGACCTCGAGGTCCCTGGTTCGAGTCCGGGCGTCTCCAACAATTTTTTTTTCTTCACTTTTTTTCTTTTTGACCTTTCACTCTACCATCTCCTTTGAATATTAAAACACGTACAATCGCAAATAATGTAATAAACAACCATATTTACTTTATTATTACCCTATTATCACTAGATCCATTACTTTTGGCGTGTAATCCTTATGGAAGATGACTTTTTCTCAAATCTGGATTCTACATTCTTGTCTTTTGCGAGCAAAATCGCCGTTATTTCGGCTTGGTTTTTGTTGAGTTTTGAGTATGTTGTAGCTGAGACTATACGCTATCTAAATGTTCTCTAATTTTGTTCAGTCTGATGTCATCGTGGTCTGTTGATGATAATCATCAACATCATCATGATCATGATCATCATCATCATCGTCATCACCATTACTATCAAGATCATCATGATGATCATCATGATGATCATCATTGTTTACATGTCTATATAACTTCTCCCTTTCTCAATATAGTAAATATTATAATCTCTCATAAGACTTGAAGACAGACCACCTAATTCGTCCCCATGACGAATTAAATTTCTAGTTTATTTTTATTTCTTCCGTACACTTTTTTGTACACACGTTCACTGGAAATCGACATGGTCAATTTCCTTCAAATTTCTGTCAGTCATCAAGCCTTATGATTTCAAGTCAAATCAACTTTTTCAAGGTCATTAGGTCATCGTGACGTCATCCAGGCGCCATTTTGTAAAAATCAGGTCATTATCATATCTCAATAACGAGTCATCAAAAATAAACCATATTTAGTATACATCAACTTCAGGTCAAAGGTCAACTAAAAATGTCAACAAATTCCGCGCGCGCACCTCGACGCGCACGTACGCGCGCATGAAAATTGTATAATGCTCCGATTCGTTTAAAATTAATTTTGCATACGTTTCAGGCCATTTTAAGCATTTTGCAAAAAAACGCGCGCACGGACATGCGCGAGCGTTTTCGCGCGTAATTGCATCTTCCAACATAGAATCGCCGAATTTTTTCTGTCATCATATTTGGCACATTTTTTCAAGCATTTTGATACCTTGTTCAACTTTTTCTGCCCATTAATAACGGAATGAGCGTCCGTTTAAGATAATTACCGTGCGCGCGAGCTTTTGTAATACATAGCATACATGGGCAAAAACATGCCTGTACAAAATCCATTGTAGCGCTTTAGGATGCAAGGTGACCCCAAGTTTTTTTTCATATTTTGATAGAGTATGAATCGGAGATATGATTTCATGTTTCATTTGACCCTCAATTAACTCATGACGTCATCATAATGGCCTCCGAACTCAAAATTTCAATTTTCATATTATGACGTCAGCAGATTTTTGGAAAATTGATTGTATCTCTGCAAATATTGATCAATTTTCTTTCAAATTTTGATATGTTCTACCTTAGAATATTCTCTACAAATGCAGTTGCCACGATATTTCATTTTGACAAAGGCATCATGGCGTATTTTTGCGATTAAAGGAGGCATGTCAATTTTTCACATTTTGCGTGTATTCTCTATGGGACATGACTTTTTCTCAAAACTGGATTCTACATTCTCGTCTTTCGCGAGCAATATCTCCGTCGTTTTATCTTTGTTTACGCTGAACTTTGAGTATGTTGTAGCTGAGACAATAAGCTATCACAAGTGTGCCCTTAATTTTTCGATCAGATGCCGGGATCATGCTCATATTTCACTTACAAAGTGGGATTAGAGAATTCCATTTTCCGTTTACGTGTAATCTCTATGTGAAATGTTTTGGTATATCGGTAACGCACTTGACTTCCGACCTCGAGGTCCCTGGTTCGAGTCCGGGCGTCTCCAACAATTTGTTTTCTTCACTTTTTTTTCTTTTTGACCTTTCACTGTACCATCTCCTTTGAATATTGAAACAAATAATGTAATACACAACCATATTTACTTTATTATTACCCTATTATCACTTGATCCATTACTTTTTGCGTGTAATCCTTATGGGAGATGACTTTTTCTCAAATCTGGATTCTACATTCTTGTCTTTTGCGAGCAATATCGCCGTTATTTCCGCTTGATTTTTGTTGATTTTTTAGTATGTTGTAGCTGAGACTATATACTATCTCAAAGTTCTCTCATTTTGTTCAGTCTGATGTCATCATGGTCTGTTGATGATGATCATCAACATCATCATGATCGTGATGATCATCATCATCGTCATCACCATTACTATCAAGATCATCATCATCATGATCATCATCATGATCATCATTGTTTACATGTCTATATAACTTGAAGGCAGACCATCTTATTCGTCCTCGTGACGAATTAAAATCTAGTTTATTTTTATTTCTTCCGTACACTTTTTTGTACACACGTTTACTCGAAATTGACATGGTCAATTTCCTTCAAATTTCTGTCAGTTATCAAGCCCTATGATTTCAAGTATAATCAACTTTTTCAAGGTCATTTGGTCATCGTGACGTCATCCAGGCGCCATTTTGTAAAAATCAGGTCATTATCATATCTCGATAACGAGTCATCAAAAATAAACCATATTTGGTATACATCAATTTCAGGTCAAAGGTCAACTAAAAATGTTAACAAATTTCGCGCGCGCACCTCGACGCGCACGTACGCGCGCATCAAAATTTTATAATGCTCCGATTCGTTTAAAATTAATTTTGCATACGTTTTAGGCCATTTTAAGCATTTTTAAAATTTGCGTGCGCGTAATTATGCGCGCGCGTTTCCGCGCGTATCCGCGCGTCTTGGCATTTTGCAACATAGAATCGCCAAATTTTTTCTGTTATCATATTTATTACATTTTACCAAGCATTTTGATACCTTGTTTACCTTTTTCCGACCAGTAATAACGCAATTAATAGCGGCTGTCAAAGTTGAACGCACGCGCCGACCTGCGCTATCTGTATCCACAATACATGGGCAAAAACATGCCTATACAAAATTCATTTTAACTCTTTAGAATGGATAGATACCCCCCAATTTCTTTCATATTTAAATAGATTATGAGTTGGAGATATGATTTCATGCCTCATTTGGCCCTCAATTAACTCATGACGTCATCATAATGGCCTCCGAACTCAAAATTTCAATTTGCATATTATGACGTCAGCAGATTTTTAGAAAATTGATTGTATCTCTGTAAATATTGATTAATTTTCTTTCAAATTTTGATATGTTCTACCTGAGAATATTCTCTACAAATGCAGTTGCCACGATATTTCATTTTGACAATGGTATCATGGCGTATTTTTGCGATTAAAGGAGGCATGTCAATTTTTCACATTTTGCGTGTATTCTCTATGGGACATGACTTTTTCTAAAAACTGGATTCTACATGCTCGTCTTTCGCAAGCAATATCTCCGTCGTTTTATCTTTGTTTACGCTGAGCTTTGAGTATGTTGTAGCTGAGACAATATGCTATCATAAGTATGCCCTTAATTTTTCGATCAGATGCCGGGATCATGCTCATATTTCACTTACAAAGTGGGATTAGAGAATTCCATTTTCCGTTTACGTGTAATCTCTATGTGAAATGTTTTGGTATATCGGTAACGCACTTGACTTCCGACCTTGAGATCCCTGGTTCGAGTCCGGGCGTCTTTACCAATATTTTTCTTCACTTTTTTTTCATTTTGACCTTTCACTGTACTATCTCCTTTGAATTTTAAAACACGTAGTGTCGTATCTTATATGTCCATAAATACGAAAGTAATACTGCTAGAAGTATACGCCATTATGCCCGTTGCTAAGCTTACTTTATTCTGCCGGAGAGGGCAGTATTTCACTGTTTCATACAGACAAGTTTCTGATGGATATACATAGCAAATATCACATTACTACACGTAGAATCGCAAATAATGTAATAAACAACCATATTTACTTTATTATTACCCTATTATCACTTGATCCATTACTTTTCGCCTGTAATCCCCATGGGAGATGACTTTTTCTCAAATCTGGATTCTACATTCTTGTCTTTTGCGAGCAATATCGCCGTTATTTCGGCTTGGTTTTTGTTGATTTTTGAGTATGTTGTAGCTGAGACTATATGCTATCTAAATGTTCTCTCATTTTTTCAGTCTGATGTCATCATGGTCTGTTGATGATAATCATCAACATCATCATGATCATCATCATCATCATCGTCATCACAATTACTATCAAGATCATCATTATCATGATCATCATGACGATCATCATTGTTTACATGTCTATATAACTTCTCCCTTTCTCAAGATAGTAAATATTATAATCTATCATAAGACTTGAAGACAGACCACCTTAATCGTCCTCGTGACGATTTAAATTCTAGTTTAATTTGGATTTGAATACATCGAGAGATGGAGAGCTTCGTATTTCTATTGGAAAGCTATTCCATAGTTTGGGGGCAGCAATGGCAAACGCATGGTCCCCGAGAGTAACTTCAGTTTTGCCATGACGAATCTGGAACAATAATTTATCTCTGGAACTGCGCACGCTACGACTGTGTGACTGGACTTTGAGTTTCAGTAATCAAAGATCAAGATAGGCGAACCTCTTTCGACGCGTATTATCAATCAACGTGAGGACTTGAACTTGAGATATTAGTACAAAAGGGATACAACTTACTATACTTCATTGCATAGCGTTTGTGCTTGCATAAACTGACTGTCGACCTCTAGTACATTAGCTGATTACACTTAGTTTTATTGAACATTGGCTGTATGCGAAGAATGAGCTCGTGTTTGTAATTTGCCAGAAAGCTGAAATTTAATTGTACCAATGGCTGAGAAGACTAGAGAAGATAAAGCTCCAAGCTCTTCACACAACCTGACGTGTCCGCTATGTCTTGATATCTTCGACGAGGCAACCATCCTGACTTCATGTGGACACACCTTCTGTCGGAAATGTCTCGAGAAGTACGACCTGTCCCATCAGGATCTCGATCACATGATCTGTCCTCTCTGCAGAGAGGTCACCAAGTTGTCTGCGAACCGTGTTGACGATTTCCTTACCAATGTGACTGTCAACGGACTCGTAGACGATTACCACGCAAACTGTGGAGGGGTGAATGCTGTCCTTGAGATGCGTCCAAAATGCACTGCTTGCAAGTTTCAGCAAGATGCTGTCTCATTCTGCAGAACGTGTAATAACTACATGTGTGATAAGTGTCTAGATTGTCATCAACATCTTGCAGTCTTCTTTGAAGGTCACGACATTGTATCCATACAGGATATCATCAACGGGAAGGTCAGCATTGGTCATCTATCCGAGAAGTGCTACATCCACAAACAAGAGAACAAAGATATGTTTTGTGAGGATTGTCAGGTCCACGTCTGTTTCAAGTGCGTGATCGTCGGTCATCAATTTCACAAAATCAAGAATCAGGCTGACTTCGAGCAGGAGTTACGGCTTAAGGTAAACGTAGTTTTATTTAATTTAATGTACCGCGTAGGCGCCGTAAGCGGGGAGGGGTGGGGGCAGAGGGGGCTGATACAATAATTCAAGTATGGGGGAGGGGGGGGGGAGTGTCCTGGCAAGGGAAAGAAGGAAAATATACGTCATTCCTTTGCATTATAATAAGATAACAAGAACTCTGAAAAATATACTACTGAGTGTCATTACGCTCCCTCGAATATTAATAAACCCGGTGTTTATTATGTTAGTAAGTCCCTTCTACCATAAAGGCACCCCAAACATGAAAACAAACACTTCTATCAATCAAAGGGTTTGTGCGACATTAGATCCCCAATTGACAATAAATATTTTGCAGCAAAGCCCCATTAGAAGATTAGTCCTCTAAAATGCAGAATTTAACCATTCCAAAACCTAAATTTACTCAGTTAAGCGTTGGTCACATCCCACCGTGCGTGTTTTTAGTCCGTACGGTTTTTGGTGAGGCCACGGCCGCCACGTTTTTCTGAAAACGTAGGGAGGGATTGACAAAGGCAGGGAGGGAGTACCGGCAACGCGCGTTACATGCACTGTGGTGAATCGGTAGCCCGAACGCAGCCCGAACGCAGCGAAAGTTCCTCGTGCACTAAAAGTGCTACGGTGTGTCTGCGTGCTCGCAAATCCGTACGGAGGCGGTACTCATCACGTACGGATACCCACATTTTGCCCACGTTTTTGCACGTAGACAGCACGCACTTGCAAGTACGGCGGGATGTGACCACCGCATTATTGGTTCCTGCTCTACTCTACAAAATCTAGAAAAAGTGCACTCCTATGCTTATACTGTAGAAAGCCTGTCTCCAAGAGGCAGCAAAAGCAACAGGTATATTATTACCTCTATCGGGGTTGGAGCCAAATCATTTCTGCCCCCTACTTCTAATAAGACCAAATATCTTTACAAACAAAGGGGATTCGTTTTTTCCGCCTCCCTTGCTAGACAAACATTTTAACGTCAATAAATTTGCAAAGCAAAATAGGTTCTTTTTTGGAGGGTCGCTACGCTCCATGCATCGCACGTTTTCTGAATTACACGGAAAACAGATCGATGGGGAGAAGGCCAAGGCCCCGCCCAGCTCGCAAGATATTAGCACAATAATTATTGTATTATATTGATGATATTGTAGACTGGAAAAGCTTTTAAGTCATTTGAAATACGGTTTCAAATTTCCCAAATGCTATTTTTTTCCTGTCGGTCGCTAGACTCTTCGCACTTTAATAGTTAGGATGTATCTCATCACTGTACAAACCCTGTCTTCTGCATATGAGCTTGAAACGGATAGCGGTACAAAGCTTATCTCTAGTAAAGGGGGTGAGACAACAATGTTGACACGCATCTGAGAAAACATGAAGCTCTTTCTGTTGCTCGTTTTTTGATCACTGATATGCGAATCATTTGTTTGAAGTAGGCTGGGATTTTTCGATGTGTTTCAAGCTATACTTGAGTACACTTTTCAAAAATTTCACATTAGCATTTTTATCCTGGGTCGCCACACTCACTAGCTAAATAACAAACTTTCTATCGAGTTATATATGAACTTTAGTATTGTAGAAACTCTTTAATATGAGGTATCTTATGTCTTATGGAAATAATAACTTTGAATATTTTAAATCTGCTTCTGTGCCTTAAAACATATGCTTAAGAGATCTACATTCCAATATTACCAACACAAAAAGGGAGGAATACTATGTGTTTTTCTTTTGTTGATGTTGTTGAAACTTAAATACATTATTCTTTTCAAATATCAAGAAAGGAGAAAAGGTGTTTGTTGCGGAGGAGGGTGTGTATAAAGGCGTTAGTAAACGTTAGCTACATTTCATAGCTTAATGTTCTTTTCACTTCTCTGTTATTATTTGTTTTGTTCAGGTGAACGACCTTGTCCAGCGATGTGCCACTAAGAAATCAGAACTGGAGAAGAACATTCAAAATGTGGAAGTACAACGCCATGAAGTGTACTGCCGTGCAGAAACTTCTGGATGATGTCAGTCAAGCCTACAGCATCAAGGCTAAAGAGCTTGAAGAAAATCATCGAAATCTCATCGAGCAAATCAATGCAGTAAAGCGGAGTTTCGAGGACGACCTCAACGTATTGAAAACCAAGGATCGATTGAGGATCAAGAGTATTTGTAGTTCAATAACACTGGTAGCTAATGACAGACTGGGTCGTCTTGAGACAGACAGTCTGTCTGCTCATACCTTGCTCTGTGAAGAGCTGGATGCCATGCTGAAGGAGGTTACTGATCACACTTCTGCAGCAGCCATTACGAAGAAAGCACAGGAGAAGAGGTTCAAGCCTGCAGATGATACTCGTCTTGAGCTCGGGAGCATCTCAGAATCAGATCCGAAGTTGCAAGTCATTCGGTGTGTAGATCTACAGGGACTTATGCAGGGAATGACCCAGTACTCTGATGGTAGTGTAGCTATCGGATATGATAATAAACATGGTATAGATATCATTGATTCAGCTGGTAACAAGCACCAATATGCAAACATACCAAGTAACATGTACTGTTATGATCTTGTGTTTCAACAAAACAGGTCGTTATGCATGTCACCCAGTACTACAGAAGCAGCCATATATTCTCCGAATGGTTCCAGGAAATCAACCATCCACGTGAATAGTGGTTACTGTACTCTCACACTAAACAGAAGTCCATCAGATGAAATTCTCATTACTACCGATGAGAAGCAAGTCTACATCTATAATCCGACTGGATCCACTCTCAAACACACTGTTCCAACAAAACACAACGAGACGGGTCGGGTATCTGCTACCAGGTCGGATTTGATCGTCACGAGTTCATGTAACATCAATCCAAGCGTGGTGACGGTCTATGACAGGGATGGGAATGCTGGTAAGTCCCTACAAGCTCCAAGCGATGTCCAGCTGTATGCTGCCCTGGATGAGCAGGACAGGGTGTATGTAGCAAGTGTTGATTGTCAGAATGATCACGTGGTGATAAGGCTCTATGATCTTGATGGTTTGAACCTGAAGGAGAGAGTTGAGTTCAATGTACTTAATCTGACGCTTGGTTGGGACTGGTGTTACTTGGTTTCACTCTCACCAGACATGCTCGCCTTTGCTTGTTACAATAAGTTGTATTTTATCAAAGTATCACTGTAATCCATCTCACATTCTATATTATCATTATTTGAAGTGTGTATACCTCTCTGCTCCATATTATAATGTTTATTGTGCGACAACTAACCGAATGGGTAGATGCATATTCTCTCGATATTTTCTAATTCCCTGTGTACAGTTGTCATTATCCAATAACATGAAACTTCTCTCTATCGAAATAGTATGTTATAAATAAGTCGAAAATGCATATACTTTTTTCATTCTGTACTTGTTTTCTCTTTGATATTTAAAACAAATGCATCGGTACTGCAAAATCAGAAGAAAAAAAACAAATACAGACATTCTATTGAAGCTTTGTGGTCTTGATTCGTCGTTTTTGCGATTTATTCTAATAAGTTTAAGATTTAGAAAATTTGAATGTCAGAATTTGTTGCTCTCCTTTTTTTGATATTTCATTTTGTTTAGTGTGTGAGGAAGCACATAGAGCAAAATGTATTTTTTTTTAAATTCTGGTATTAATATTTCCTCATCCTTTTTCCTTCTGTTTTATCGCAGTAGAATTTAATGCTACTTAAAATCAATTCAAAACTTTAGAAACTGCAAATTGGAATTTAAACGATAACTTCCACCTGAAACGCAATAAATAGATGCAAGTGATATGAAAACATGTAAACTTGAAATTGAAAACAAATTTTGATTAACTTCTTCTAAGTGTTATTTCTTAAATTTTGTAATTTTTATCGTGATTATTTTGTATCTCTAAAAGAAGAATAATTAAAGAAATACTCAATACTGACTTAGTAAATGGAACCCCATTGTAAATAACCTTTCCGCTTTCGTGGTCATCCTATCAAGTTAATATTATTTTGTTTTATTTTATGATATCATTTTACTCTCTGTATGTATGTTACATTGAACTTGACTAATACATCATAACAAATTCTAATAAGAAGCCTTACAGACTACAGACTTCTTGACTAATTCTTAAGTAATGTAAGAATATTATGATACATGATGTAAACGTTAAGTGCAGTTCTTTTATAATTAGTAATTTCACTTTGAATATATTTCATGTAAATTCGGCAGGTTGTCTTTTTCATAATAGTTAACCCTTCACTTCAATTTAATTCAATCTAGTTAAATTCGATTCAATTCAATTAAATCTGTACAGACTATCGATTGTTGACGTGGAATTTGAAATATCTTCATTTGCATTTTGTAACGGTAGAAAGAGAATGGGGTATTAAGATGGAATTATGTTTATCATATGATAAATTGTAGAAATGATGAGAATACTAAATCTACCTCTGGGCGAAAAAAGAAAGTCAATTCTTATTGGTGAAATGGCGCAACTATTTCGATACACACACATGGTCTTTATACTGTTTTGTAGACAGTTTTGTAAAGAACCTTAAACTCATGTTTCAACGTTCACATTTTATTTGTTCTCTTTTGTTTTTTTAAAAGAAAATTAGAAAATAATAATAAAATAAATATATACGCTATAAACCTATCCACTAATAACATGTACATTATTTTGTTGCATGCACACGGTATTATTGTTTGACACTGGAAGAGTCATTTAATTGTTGACAGAGAAAGAGGAAGAGAAAGAGAGCAATAGAAGGAAATAACGGAAGCCTTGTGGAAAAAGAGGGGCTGGAAAACAAATGTAGTGACCGTCCTTTACTCTTCCAATTATAGTAATGAAAGCACATGAAACGTCTTGCTCTATTATTCAGGATTCTACTAAAGTGGATCTCCAAGATATATATTCACCACTGAAAGCCTAAATAAGTCGCCCTCTATAGATTAGAACACAAATGATTACCGTCAATAAGTTCAAAGGTGCATGCTTATACGCTCTTACGGAAATCCCATTTCTATTCATAGGATGCACAAACTGCGTGATATTAGCAGACGATCTACTCAAGTGTGATTTTACCATTGTAACCACATTGGTTTACACCAAGTACACACTTGGAAAGAGAATGATTGTGTGTGTGTGCCTCAGTTGAGATGTCTAATTTCCATTCGAGCATCAAAATAAAGTTATGAGAAGCAATATAATTAAGCACTATGTTATCAATACAAAACACATATTTTTTTTGCCTGTACAATATTTCACTACTTACCATTTGAGGTGTTTTTAACCATTTCTATGGGAACCTCTTGTAAGGATTTTTTAGCTCCTGATTTACGAGTAGTCTGTGTATTTTTCTCTTTAAAATACGTACCTTACTTTGAAACGCTTATCATTAAAATCATACATGTACTTATTCCAGAAGACTAATATTTTGTACATACACCGGAGCGCGATAGTTATTACAACGTCTACCTCTCCGTCATTGGTAATCATAGGCAAACAAAAGATATCCATGCAAATATCAATATTAAAAACAAACATCACAACCTGTTTGACATAATCAAGTACATACTTGTTCAGTTCACATTCAATAAACACATGGACAAGGTCCTCTATTACGTGGTACTTGGGGCGGTATCTGTCTTCTGCTATTCCCAATTTTAAAAGATTGTTTCAAACAGGTAGTATATATATAGTACAGCAATTTATAATTGAACTCTCTTAAACGATGTCCCCTTGGATACGTCAAATTCCTTTTGAACACGGAACACTAATCAATGTCTCTTTTTAGTACCCCCCCCCCCCCCACCCAAGATAGCACCTGCTGGTGCTTGCTGCCCACGTCACTAACATTATATCGTGATTTTTTTTCTTTCTGTATCACAATCTGTTGTAAGAGTTGCGTTCACATATTAGTATAATATTCGAAGAACATTTTCGAGCAAAAAGTATCTCCTGATATATTAATAATCTCACGGTATTTAAAAAATTATTTTCCTTCATCTTCCCCCTCGCTCTTACCCTTTTTGGGGGCCATTCGATTAAGGGGCACATACGTGTACATCCAGTGCCCCCCCCCCGGGTCCCGCCTCCGTAGCAACACCACTGCTTGTGAATATAGGTCGGCAAAAAGCATTGTGTTGATGGCAAAACGTTCAAGGTTGAAATCACAGACACAGAATATATACATTTTTCTCACAACGTACTATGTATTCTAAATTTATATAAACGAAGTGTGTTGAGATCTTTACAGGCTCCAGTCGTGTTGGGGACGCTCCATTAAATATATAGTCGCCCATCTATATTAACATGTGCTACGATCGCCTGGATAAGTAGTTCTTTTACTAGTTTCATTGTAATCACATTTGTGTTGATGTATACACTTGGATAGAGACTCAGTACTTCTGATCAACGTTATTCGCACCTCTTTCGACACATATTTGTAATCAACGTGAGAAATTGGTAAAGAACTGCATGCAGTTATAGGACGCACTTGTTACGTAGACTCAGGATATTGGTACAATCTATCACATCACTGCATATAGTTTGTGCTTGCATGGACGACTGTTGGCTCTAAGGACACATTAGCTGATCACACTTTTAAGTTACAATGGACATCAATTGTATAAAAGCGTAGAATGCACTTGCGTTTGTAATTAGCCAGAAATCCGATATTTGTACAAATGGCTGAGAAGACTGAGAAAGAAAAAGTCCCAAGCTTTTCACAGGACCTGACGTGTCCACTGTGTCTTGGTATCTTCGACGAGGCAACCATCCTGACTTCATGTGGACACACCTTCTGTCGGAAATGTCTCAGGAACTATGACCTGTCCCATCAGAATCTTGATCACATGATCTGTCCTCTCTGCAGGGAGATCACCAAGTTATCTGCGAACCGTGTTGATGATTTCCTTACCAATGTGACGGTCAACGGACTTGTAGACAATTACCACGTCATGTGTGGAGGGGTGAACGCTGTCCTTGAGATGCGTTCAAAATGCACTGCTTGCAAGCTTCAGAAAGATGCCGTCTCATTCTGCTGTACATGTAATAACTACATTTGTGATAAGTGTCTAGAGTGTCATCAAATTCTTAAAGTCTTTGAAGGTCACAAGATTGTATCCATAGAGGACATCATCAACGGGAAGGTCAGCATTGGTCATCTATCGGAAAAGTGCTGCATCCACAAACAAGAGAACAAAGAGATGTTTTGTGAGGATTGTAAGGTCCGCGTCTGTTTCAAGTGCGTGATCGTCGGTCATCAATTTCACAAAATCAAGAATCAGGCTGACTTCGAGCAGGAGTTACGGATTAAGGTAAACGTGGTTTCATTTAACTTAATGTACCGCGTAGGCGCCGTAAGTGGGGTGGGGTGGGGACAGAGGGGGCTGACGAAATAATTCGAGAAGGGTTGGGGGGGGGGGGGAGTGGCCTGGCAAGGGAAAGAAGGAAAACTGTATATCATTCTTTTGCATTATAATAAGATAAGAACTCTGAAAAATAAAGTAATGAGTGTCATTACGCTCCCTCGAATATTAATAAATCGGGTATTTATTATGTTAGTAAGCCCCTAGTTTCTACCATAAAGGCAGCCCAAGCATGGGAACAAACACTTCTATCAATCAAAGGGTTGGGGTGACATGAGATCCCCTCCCCCCTTGACATTAAATATTTTGCAGCAAAGCCCTGTCAGCAGATTAGTCCTCTAAAATGCAGAATTTAACCATTTCAAAACCTGAATTTACTCCGTTAATGGTCGCTACTCTGCTCTACAAAATATAGATTGCATTCCTATGTTTATACTGTAGAAAGCCTGTCTCCAAGAGGCAACACAAGTAAGAGATATATATTATTCCCTCTATCGGGGGTGGAGCCGAATCGTTTCTGCCCCCTACCTCTAACAAGGCCAAATATCTTTACAAACAAAGGGGATTCGTTTTTTTCGCCTCCCTTGCTAGACAAACATTTGCAAAGCAAAATAGGTTCTTCTTTTTTTGGTCGCTACGTACGCTCCATGCATCGCACATTTTCTGAATTACACGGAAAACAGATCGATGGGGAGAAGGCCTAGGCCCCGCCCGGCTCGCTAGATATTAGCACAATAATTATTGTATTATATTGATGATATTGTAGACTAGAAAAGCTTTTAATTCATCTGAAATATGGTTCTAAATTTCCAAAACGCTATATTTTTCCTCTCAGTCGCTAGACTTCCCCGCATTTTGATGCTTCTTGGGATGTTTCTTATCATTGTACAAACACTGTCTACTGCATATGCGCTTTAAACGGGTAGGGTGCGAAGTTCAAAGTTCTCTCTAGTAAAGGGGGTAAGACAGCAATGTTGCCACCACCTCTGAGAAGACATGAAGCTCTTTCTGTTGCTCGCATATGCTCACTTATATGCAAATCATTATTTTGAAGTAGGCTGGGATGTTTCGATATGTTTCAAACTTTACTTGATTACACATTTCAATTTCACAGAAGCAATTTTTTTTAGCCGGGTTTGTACACTCACTAGCTTTATAGTAAACTTTCTATCGAGTTATATATGATTCTTAGTATTAAATAAACTCTTTTATGATGACGTCTTATGTAAATAATAACTTGAGTATCTTAAATCTCCTTTCTGCATTAAAACATATACAAAAATAAGAGGAATACAATGTACATGTACTTCTTTTTTGTTGTAATTGAAACTTAAATACATTATTCTTTGTAATTTTCAAGAAACGTTTGTGCGAAAGGAAAAAAGGTGTTTGTTGCGGAGGGGGGGGGGGGGTCTTGGTTCTACATTTTGTTAAAAATCAGGCGCCTCCAAACTCCGGTGTTTGATTATCAAACCATCTCCATGTAATTGGCATACATCTCATTCTGCGAAATGTTCTTTTCAATTCTCTATTATTTGTTCTGTTAAGGTGAACGACCTTGTCCAGCGATGTGCCACTAAGAAATCAGAACTGGAGAAGAACATTCAGAATGTGGAAGTACAACGCGATGAAGTTTACACTGCCGTGCAGAAACTATTGGACAATGTCAGTCAAGCCTACAGCATCAAGGCTAAAGAGCTTGAAGAAAATCATCGAAATCTCATCGAGCAAATTAATGCAGTAAAGCGGAGTTTCGAGGACGACCTCACCGTCTTGAAATCCAAGGATCGACAGATGATCAAGAGTATCTGTAGTTCAATAACACTGGTATCTAATGACAGACTGGGTCGTCTTGAGACAGACAGTCTGTCAGCTCATACCTTGCTCTGTGAGGAGCTGGATGCCGTGCTGAAGAAGGCTACTGATCACACTTCTGCGGCAGCAATTACGAAGAAAGCACAGAAGAAGAGGTTCAAGCCTGCAGATGACACTCGTCTTGAACTCGGGTGCATCTCAGAAGCAGATCCGAAGTTGCAAGTCATTCAGTGTGTAGACCTACAAGAAATGATGTATGGAATGACCAAGTACTCTGATGACATTGCAGCTATTGGATATTGGGATGCACATGGAATAGACATCATTGATACAGCTGGTAACAAGCACCAGTATGCAAACATACCAAGTAACATGAAATGTTATGATCTTGTGTTTCAACAAGACAGGTCGTTATGCGTAACGACGGGTTGCAAAGAAGCACACATATATTCTCCGAATGGATCCAGGAAATCAACCATCACCGTGAAAAGCAATAGCAATTATCTCAAATTAAACAGAAGTCCATCTGATGAAATCCTCATCGTTAACTACGACAAGAAAGTCTATATCTATGACCCGACTGGATCCACCCTCAAACATACTATTCCAACAAAACACAGCAAGACGGGCCAGGTATCTGCTACCAGGTCGGGTTTGATCGTCACGAGTTCATGTGACATCAAGCCAAGTGTGGTGACGGTCTATGACAGGGATGGGAAAGCTTGTAAGTCTCTACAAGCTCTAAACGGTGTCCTCCTGTATCATGCCGTCGATGAGCAGGACATGGTGTATGTAGCGAGTGTTGATCGTGTGAATGGTAACGTGGTGATCAGGCTCTATGACCTTGATGGTCTGAACCTGAAGGAGAGAGCTGAGTTCAATGCACTTACTATGACGATTGGTTCTGATTGGTGTTACTTGGTTTCCCTCTCTCCAGACATGCTCGCGTTTTCTAGTTACAATAAGTTGTATTTTATCGAAGTATCACTGTAATCCAGCTCACACCCTATTTGTAGTATGTATACCTGACTGCACCAGATTTATAGCAGGGGCCTATGTTTCATATTCTAATGTTCATTATGTGATATTAAACTAATCGAATGAGAAGATGTTCATTCTCTCGATAGATTTTAATTGCCTGAATACAGTTGTCATTATCCAATAACTTGAAAACTTCCCTCTATCGAAATAGTGTGTTATTAACAAGTTTTAAAATGCATATGCTTTTTTCATTCTGTACTTGTTTTCTCTTTGATATTTGAACAAATGATCGGTACTGCAAAATCAAACAATCATTTTTGAGATTTACTCTAATAAGTTCAAAAATTAAAATGTCAGTATGTCATAATTTGTTGCTATATTATTTGTGATATTTTACTTCCACTTGAAACGCAATAAATAGATGCAAGTGATATGATAATATATGTATAACTTGATAATTGAAAACAAATATTGATTTACTTGTTATGAGTGATATTTCTCTTGTATTATTATTTTTAATGTATTTTCAAGTTTATTTTGTTTATGTTTATACAACGTTATTTTTATCGTGGTTATTTTGTATCTCTAATTGAAGAAGAAATAGAGAAATAAATGATACTGACTTTGTAAATACGACCCCATTGTAACTAAGCTTTTCCGCTTTCGTGGTCATCCTATCACGTTAATATGTTAACATGCTATTTAGTAATAAGGTTGCGAATTTGCCTAATTGTATATTTTTGATGGTACTGCCATTCAAAGGGCCCGATCAACAAAATTTTGGGGGCTAGTCATTGATGAAAAACTATCTTGAAAAGCGCACATTGACAATATCTGCAAAATCATTGCTCGCGACACTGGTATCCTTAGTCACAAATTAAGACACTTCCTACCCCATTATAATATGTTATCCTTGTATTCTACGCTTATTCTTCCTTACTTGAATTACGGACTTATCGCCTGGGGCAGTGCAGCAACTTCCCAAATTAATAGACTCTCTATATTACAAAAAGCGATTCGTATTATTAATAATGCAGATTTCCGTGCACACACGAATAATCTTTTTCTGAATAATAAAATTAATGGACAGTTAATGTACAAGCTCAACACTTAACAATTATCTATGCCTTTTAATGATGTGTTCGTATGAAATGATTCGATTCATAGTTAATTCACTTGCCAGGCGAGCTCTTTTAATCTACCATTAAATAGAACATCTTTTGCACAAAAGACATTTGTTTTTACAGGTCCAAAACTGTGGAATTCTCTTTCAAATGATATTATGCAGTGTAATTCGATACAAATTTTTAAAAGGAGACTTAAAAGCTTCATCTGAATAGTTACTAACTAGGCTATTGCATTCCCCAATCAAATATAATTTGTTGGGTGACTTTATGCAACTTTGATGGTTTCTTTTTATAAACATGTCTGTATTTATCAATGTTTTGCGTTTAAAAGTGATATTTGTATTACTAAAGCAGTTATTGTTATTGTTTTTTTCTTTCTCATAAAATAATAATTAATAATAATTACTTTTACTTTTACTTTTAGTCGGCCCTCCTTCCCTTTCAATTTCATGTTTATTTTTTGAGGGTGTATCGTATTGTGCAAATTGATCTATATGTATATGTGAATATGTTAAAATGTACCATCATTGTAAATATGAACAATTGAAAGAGGAAACAAAAACAATTGAATTGAATTGAAAAAGAAAAAATTATTATTTTCTTTTATAATTATATTAATAATAATATTTCTGATTATATAGCGCTTAATACATCGACAAGTCCGAGTTTCTAAGCGGTTTACAGTTATTACCCCGGTCATCGGATTCTGGCTTGCCCGCACACAATGTATGCACTTTCTCCACTCCCTGGGGAGCATTCCAGCAAGAGCACTAGGCTCAAATTGCTAAGTATACTACATTGGTTTTGCATCCTATTCCGGGTACCCATTTAACCCCTGGGTGGAGAGTGGCAAATGTAGATCAATGTCTTGCCAAAGGACATTAGTGCCGCGGCGGGACTCGAACCGCGGACCTTGTGACGTATCCACTCGACCACGACACCTCTTATGATATCGTTTTTACTCTTGCTCTGACTATTACATTAAATCAAATTCTATTAAGAAGCCTTACAGGGTCATGGTGAAAATATTGCTACATTCCATTACAAATTATTTCGTTTTCACTTTGCACCCTGTATGAAAATCCATTAAATTAACTGCTCTGGGAACTAATTAATGATATGACAGATGAGTTTGCTATGATGTGGAGAAGAGCAATGCACTAACAAATATTAGGCGAAGGTTTTTTCTTGACTAATTATTCTAAGTAATGTAAGAATATTATGATACATGATGTAAATGTTACATTTGTAAGTGCAGTTCTTTTATAATTAGTAATTTCACTTTGAATAATATTTCATGTAAATTTGGCAGGTTGTCTTTTTCATAATAGTTAACCATTGAATTCAATTTAATTCAATTTAGTTAAATTCGATTCGATTCAATTAAATCTGTACAGACTATCGATTTGTGACGTGGAATTTGGATAATCCTTATCTACATTTTCTAACGGTAGAAAGAGAATGGGGTAAGCTAGAATTATGTTTATCATATCATACACTGTAGGTCATAATGGTGGAATAATTTTGTTTACCCTAATTTATGGATTGATTTTGACTATGATTTATTCCTAATAGATCTAGATAATAGTATACATTCTCAGATTTTATTGAATAATAATTTGCCAGTGTTTGTTTTGCGTGACTGCTAAAGCATGTGTATGCTAATATCCTTATCAACTAGGGGACCTACGCCCTTAAGTCATAACAGACAGAAATGAGGATTAATGCCTCACAAAAGGGCACTAATTTATAGCACATCGACACGGTTTTGATCCTGGGGTCTCACAGTTACGAGGCCATTGCTTTGCCACTGAATCATGACTGTACGCAGCGGGGGCTAGGGTAAATAGGGGCAGCCCACCCAGATACAAAAAAAAAGAAAAAAGAAAATGCAATAACTTATCAATAATTCATTGTATTTTTCCCCGGTCCCTAACAGGAATAACTTTTGTGTGGCCATGTCTTGAACCATAGTGCATGGCCGTACAGAGGACCAACAGTGTATGATAAAGTATTGAAATGATGAGGATATTAAATCTACCTCTAGTCATGCTCGTAGACATGCATGGCAAACCCAGGGATTATTCTGGAGAAAACATTAATTCACTGTTTCTCCATCGTTACAAAATGACATACCAGTTGAAAAGTTTGAAATAAGATTACATCGAAACAACTGCTTGTGTGCATAAGCGACCTAGCTTGGTTTTGTGGTTTTTCTTGTTTACGGGGAGGTTCTCATCACCGCATCTCGATGGAAAATGCAGTCACTTTATGTTTTTGTTTGTAGTAAGAAAGTCAATTCTTATGGGGAAAATGGCGGGACTATGATAGACACGCATGGTCTCTATCCTGTTTGTGTACTGAGTTTTGTAAAATACTATAACACATGTCTCAAAGTTCGCATGTTGTATTTTCCTCTTTTGTTTCTTTTAAAATATTAGATTATAATAATGAAATAAATATATACGCTGTAAACCTAGCCTATGATTACATGTACATTATTTTGTTGTATGCACACAGTATTGTTGATTGACACTGAAAGAGTCCTTTAATTTGTTGACAGAGAAAAAAGAAGAGAATTGAAGAAATAGAGGGGAACAACGGAGAATAGGGGAGAAAGAGGGGTGAAAAACAAATGCAGTTACCGTCCGTTACTCTTCCAAACATAGTAATGAAGGCACATATATTAAAAAAGCGTCTTGCTCTGTTATCCAGGATTCTACAAATCCTGGATAACAGAGCAAGACGTTTTAAAAGTGCATCTCCAACATAATGGCCCGAATTCACAAAGGAGGTTTGTCGATAAACCTAAGTTTATGTACGTCATATGACGCGTTTTCAGTGACGCGTTTTTTTTACAAACCTCGTTTGTAAAAACGCGTCGAAACGCGTCATATGACGCACGAAAACCTAGGTTTGTCGACAAACCTCCTTCGTGAATTCGGGCCAATATATCCACCACTAAAGAGCCTAAATAAGTCGCCCTCTATAGATTAAAGAAAAATGAATAAAGCCAATAAGTTCACAGGTGCATGCTTATACGCTCTGTTGGAAAACTTTCTTCTATTCATAGGATGCACAAAGTGCGTGATATTGACAGTCAATCTACTTTTCTTACCCCATCGGTATTCAAGTACACACTTAGAAAAAGAATGCTAATGTGTGTGTGCCTCAGTTGAGAGGTCTAATTTCCATTCGAACATCTAAATAAAGTTATGAGAAGCAATATAATTAAGCACTATGTTATCAATACAAAATACATATGTTCTCGCATGTACAATATTTTGCTACTTACTATTCAAGGTGTTTTTAACAATCTCTCTAAACTTTTGTCTGTTTTTTTTAAAGCTCCTGATTTACGATTAGTCTGTGTGTTTTTTTCTTTTAAATACGTGCCTTTAATACTGTGAAATGCTTTTCATTAAAATCATACTTAAAAGTTCTGGAAGACTAACATGTTGTACATACACCAGAATGCGATAGTTATTAAAACATCCACTTCTCTGCCATTTTTATTCTAAGGCAAACAAGAGATATCCACGCAAAAATCAATATTACAAAAATATGGCAACATATTTGACATAATCGAGGACATTTTGATTAGTTCACGTTCAATGAACACATGGACAATGCCTATATTACGTGGTACTGAGGGCAGTTTCTGTCGTCTGCTAATCACCATTCGTAAAGATTGTTTTAAACAGGTAATTTAACTCTCTTTAACGATGTTTCCTTGGATATGTCGAATGCCTTTTGAACACGGAAGACTAATATTTCAGTGCAATATGGCCTACATATTCTATTTGATATCACTTTTCTTAATATCAGCTCTTTGAGACAGACATGATTCACTTTATCATTGTTAGAAGCCTAATCTATAAGATA